TGGAGTTTATTGTTACCTTCAGTGCAGCCGAAGATGACGGCGTGGTGCATGATGTTGACGTTGTCGATGATGGGCTTGCTGGCAATGATGTGGTAGTCGGTGTCGTTGGGGATGGAGAAGATCTGACACATGTAGGTTGTTTCAACTGGTGGTACAGATGTCCGTGGTATCTTCAGATCCATGTTTAGCACGTCTAGATGGAAATTGTTGGCAATGTTACTCAATATGTTCCGTAATATCGAACTATCTATAATCCATTAAATGGGTTATAACGCCGTATTGAACAGAATTTAGTTACAGTAAACTACGGTTATAACGAACACGCTTATAACGAACTGACGGATATAACGAACTACTTTTTTGGTCCCGACTATTTACTGTAGTTATGCTTTATCTATGCTTATAACGAACTACGGTTAAAACGAACTAAAATTTGTAGTCCCTTTGAGTTCGTTGTAACCGTACTTTACTGTATATCGTTTTGTTTGTTGTTTAACGTCGCAGTTAGCACTATTCCAGCTGTATGATGGCAGTCTGTAATTTAACGAGTCTGGACCAGACAATCCAGTGATTGACATCGTGAGCATCGATCTATGCAATCTGGAAACGATAATCTTCACTGAACCACGTTAGCCAGCTTGACCACCCGATCCATTTAGCCGCCTCATACGCCAAGCATCGGTTCCGAGGGACCTATATTCTTACCCGGAAGCGGGTGAGACAGATCTACCGTCAGCTGGGAGAGATATATGTGATGGTGTGTGCAGTCTACAGTGATTTGGGTTTACATGTAATTAGTCCGAAAAGGTTTGTTGGTCCTCTAAAACAGTTGGAAAGCTAAAGCTATTGTTCCCCAAAATCTACGTAGTAATATTGTTTTGGAATCATTGATCAATTGTTTCAGTTACAGAATGAGCCAATTATTTTATAAGGATTGCAGTGTGAGGAGACTGTGTTTGCTCTTGTGTTCAACTTGACGCATCACTGCAAAAAAAATCCATATATACAAGCTTGTATATCCTTTGGAAAGATGATATTTCCAAAGGATATACAAGATTGGAAAGATGATATATACAAAATATACAAGTTTGTATATATGACATATACAAAATATACAAATTTGTATATATGGTGTATCCAAATTTGTTTTGTTTGTATATATTGGTAAAGGGAGATAATTATTATGTATTTGTGTATAATTATGATATATGTGCAAATTGAAGTGTTTTAAGTTGAGCACTGTGTTTCTTTGTATATGTTGGTAAAGGAGGATAATTGCTATGTATTGCTCTATAAATGTTTTGTATGTGCAAAATAGTATCAGCAAGTTACAAAAAACTGATTTAGTGGCGGGTAACATTACTGGAAGGTTTAATTAGTACTCCACACTGTTAGCGGGAGTACATACTGTCCTTGCAATGATATTGACGGGTGGGCGGTTGAGGCGTCTGGTACTTTTCCTGGCGCGGTGCTTGGTATGTGAGTAGACTTTATGGTCAAATGCACAGAGGGGATTAGCTGTCGGGGGCGATTGCTTTGGCGGTAACTTCTGTATTGAAAGTGTTTGAGCTTGGATTTGTTTTACGGGGAGGCCGCGATGTGTTTTGTAACATGCTCTCGTGCACATATGCCAACAGAGTGGATTGCACAGAGGATGAAAACTATTTTATCACTACTTAAAAGTGTTGAATTTGGTTTGTTCTGAGCTGTCGGTTTCATTGTAGATATACATTGTTATAATGTGAAATCTCGGCGGAAACGCGGAAAATCGCGTTTTGTAAAACGGTAGTCCTTGGGGAAAATTGTATTATGAGCAACCGGATGCGTAAATAACGTGTGTAATATATTCCCGTATTATATTTTATAATACTTGTTCTTTAAATATTGTTATCAATGCGAGAACGAAGATTACCTTGAAAAAACACAACAGCATGCATATGTTCTAGCAAAAGGAAACTTGATATATATTCATTTGGCTTAATTTCTACTTTGGAAAACTTAGTTGGCGCTCTAAAAGCTTGACGCTGTATAATTTGGCACGCGCATGGTTGGGTGCAAACCATATGTACATCAATAATAATAGTAAAAATAATAATAATAATAATAATACATCATGATGGCAGTTTCAATGTAAAGATTAAGTATTTTTAAAGATATGGAAAATAAATCTTGATAACTGCTTTAATTTTTGATCTTTGGGAAAATAATAATGGAATTGGTTGAGTGACTAACGTATTCTACTTTAAAAGTGACAGGAACGTGATTTACATAATTAAAATATAGAATAATATACAAATTATAAGAGAGGGTTTGTGATTTATTTTGGGATGAAGTCAGTATTTAACTTGCGCTTTCCGACATTATGCGTATTTCGCACACGGTTAAGAAAAAAAATGCAATTCATTTATTTATAAAAAGTACGAATGCATCAATCCTACATCACAGGACCATGTACATAATTTGTTGAATGTTATTTCGTGAATACACAAATTGCATAACACATTCCCTGAGGACAAACCCAAATTGCCCGTCCCTTTGTGACAGGTGTTAATTAGAGAATGTATTGCCACCATATTATGTCCCGGCACTTTTATGACATGTAATGAACCTAGTCAATCCCTGGGTCTGTAACAACAACATTGGTCTAATAAAAT